AATGGTTGCCATGGAGATTAAAGGATTTCTCAAACATGCATGAATGAGTCAAAGCAATACTAGTTGCTCTTTAAAAGAATAAAACCCTCACAAACAAAAAAGTGGAATAATGATAAAAAGTTAATAATTGTTGTTGGCAGTGAGAAACTGTCTCACTCCAGTAAGTTCTAATAGGTTTGTAATAGGTTTGATGTCAAAGAATGAAAGCTGCTGCAGGTTTAGCTCAGAGAGAAGTTTTTGTTTTGCTAGTGTACGTTTCTGGATAAAAAGAAGTGAAATGTGTCCTGATTCTTACCAGCTGTATTTATTTGCAATATGTCCTCTAAAAACCATCAAGCTGATCGGATGTTTCTGATAATCTGTAGGCAGAACACAAAGGGCTGGGACTCATTAATGCTACTTTACATCTATAACAGTTTTGTCAGAAGTTATTTTATTAATCTTGGTGTTAAAACAAGCAGTCTTTAATAAACTAACAAAGAGACAGGGACAGAACTGGTACTTCTTTACTGGACCAGGTCAGAGACCAGTTAACTCACTGATCCAGGTTTCAGCAGTTAGCAGGATGCTAGCGGAAAGAAATGGAAACTGGGGCTTTTGGGTCAAACTCAAAATTAATAAACACATTAAAAGCTTGTTATTGGTCGATCATCTGACAACAGTTTAAAATGACTAATCAGCCACATATTTAAGTACAAAACTAAATATTTTAGCAAAATTATATGATGGGGTTTTAAAAAAAAAACTACAAGGGAGTTCAGTTTTTGTGTTCCGCCAGATACTTCCTGTTACATGTAGACGCTAGTTAACCGTTCCGTGTTTGAAGAAGCCATTATAAAGATAAATAATAGAAAACACAAAATATACTTATTTAAAAAGTTGTTTAAATACGTTTATGTAAACGGCGTGAGTTTTGCTTTTTAAATGGAACCAAGTGTGTTTTATGTTTCCCGGAAGTTCATCAATAGGCGGACAGAGACGGCACGTGGAGCCGGAAGTCGCTCTGGCATCTGCGACGTGTTTCTATGAACGCAGGTATTTGTTTGTGTTTACCTGTCTCGCGGCCGTCAACGTGCCGTCTACATCAAAGAGGCACAGCGTGCTCATGTCCGCGGTGTTCTGGCTCATTCTGTCCCTCCGGTCAATCTGCTCCCTGTTGCCCGGGCGCGCGGCTGCTTGCGGCACTCAGTAATGCTGTGATTACCCCGCCGGCTCGGTTCGGCTCGGCCCAGAGCTACATCCCAGGACTCAGAGTCGGTGTCAAACTGCCGGAAAATGTGCGGATCAGCTCCTGTGTGGGAGTTTCTAGCCAATGAAAGTGCTCCCCGAAGCGGCGTCACGTGACGACACAGGGGCGTTGATGCCGCGTTGAGTCAACGTCATAAGGTATGCTGGATTTACGGGTATGACAGATAGTCAGAACACCTGACTTTGGTTGAGAAAGATCACATTTTTGTAGCATTTTTAAAGCAAACTTTTTGTTCCTTTTTATTTTATCTCCTTAGTAGTAAACAAAAAATATTACAATTTTCTTGAAATCAACAAAATAGTTTGATTTTTGTGGAAAACGGACCAGTAAATTATAGCGTATATAAATATATAAGACAAAAAAAGTTTTTTTTTGTTTGTTTTTTTTTGTATGATTACATTAGTACAAAACAAGGTCAAAAAATTGAGGGGCAGATAGTTTTTTCTCATTTGGGCTGCATACGACTTTGAGTAAAAGCAGATTAATAATTCCTCCAAAATTAAGATGAATGCAAGAACTTGTAACAAATGGGAATCTATTTTGAACTGGATATTGTTTAAAGATGTTATGTGTAAAAAAAAGTTGCTTTGAAAAATGAAAAATGTTTTCCAGGCCAAATTTACTCAATTCTAGAATTGACGCCAGGGGGCAACAATCCTTCAGAGGGCCACAAATGGCCCCCGGGCCACACTTTGGACACCCACGTCCTGCAGGAGCTCTTTCTCCTCCTGAACCAAAGCTAGAATTAATTTGTGTCTGGAAGCTGGAAGGAACAGTTCAGTTCAATTAAAACAATTTATCCAAAAAGAATAAATAAAAGCCAATGGAAGTTTTTTTTCCCAAAAGATGCTGTGGGAAGGAAGGATTTCCAGTAGCAGTCAGTATTGCAGCAAATCTGAAGATGCCTCTGACTAAAGCGTTGTTGCTGTGTGACATGCTAACCTGCTAACAGCATCCAGGCAGCAGAGATGACATGGATTATTCCACCCACTGATCCAGATCCTTTGCTTTTGCTTTTGTCCACCATGATGGATGGAAGAGTTGGTTTCAACTTCCTCCTTCTCTCTCTGCTTCCTGTTCATCTCCTCTTGGATTTGGTGTCAAAGTTCAGGTATTAATTTGAGTTTCTGGAGAAGCTAATCAGCTGCTCCCATAGCCGACATTGTTGTCATGGTTACCAATCATATCGACTGTCTGAAGTAAAACTGTAACCCTTCCAGCTGCAGCATCCAGAACAGAGCTAAACCTGCTGCCATCAGCGGGGGGCGCTGTTCTGGTTGGAGGCTGTTGTATCCGGAATTTGCTTCTTTTGGTTCTGATCCATTTCCCAAGAGCGCAGCAGGTGGACCGGTAACCTGAGGAAGCGCCATTTGTCCTCCTCAGTCACAAACAAACAGGTTTACAGGCACACTAGCACCACCTGAGGTGAAACCGGGTATTACAGCAACACCCTGGTTCTGGCTCTGGTTCTGGTTTTGGCTCTGGTTCTGACTCTGGTTATGACTCTGGCTCTGGTTCTGGTTCTGGCTCGATGTTTTTTCCTCTCAGATCCGTTTACTGATCATCTAATTCTGTCTCATTTGATTCATCATCAGTTTCTTTCTGTTTTCTGTCAAATGAAGCTGAAATTTCTCCTTTTCAAACACATTCAGGTATTTTTTCCTTCCTTCTCTGATTGGCTGGAGTCCAGCTGAGCTGATCTAAAAATAACGATGGAGTCACATTTTCACCTTATTTTACCTGAATGAACGGTGTTTATATGAATTTGAGCATTTTTAGATGAACATTTTGAGCTTTTCACTGATTTTATCGTTGTCAGTTTTAGTCCGGAGCTCCCTGAAGTGAACTGAATGTTTTCAGAAACGGAGATTTAAAGCTGGCAGACTTTATCCAGCTTATTGTCTGTCTGAGGCTGCAGACGCGACACTGACATGGTCACAAATCACGGTAAAAAACATGATTTATTACACACAGTACCTGCAAGTCAGAGCAGCAAAAGAATAAATACAAATAGGATTAAAAGACCACAGTAAGGGTGAACAGTACTTTTAATTCATTTTTGTTTTTAATAAGTGTATAGGATTGAGAATATATTCCAAATCAAAGAAGTGTGTGGGTAAGTGAGATTATTAAAAAAAAATTTAAATGTGCATAACATTTATGCATAAAAAACAACAATAGACTATTTATTAGAACAGAAAAACCTCAGTAAAAGCAGCAGGGGTGTGAATACTTATTGAGTTTCTGGGAGCAGTGCTGCCTCTAGTGGTCTGAACCCCTCACTACCTTCATAACCTTCAGTCTAGCTACATAAAATGAAATTTGATATTAGTTTTTACAAGGTACCTGTTTTGTTTCTACTTTTAGGTTGAACAGATGAATAAAAACATCAAGATTTTGCAACAAAAAAAAGCCTCATTTCCAAGAATAATGGATCTTAAAAAAATGTTTAGTCATTCGATTGTGGCTAAAACGTGTATTCATTAGTAAGTAGCTATATATATAAACATTGGTTGGTTATTTATCAGTTTTTGCCAAATTATTAAGAGCCATTCTGGACACTTAGAGGAGCCGCAAGTTGTAGAAATTATCAAGCGAACTGAATTATCAGCAGCTGGGAGGAAGGATCTGTGATGACGCTTGCTTTGTGCATTTAGGATGTAGCAGCTCTGCAGGAACAGCTTCATACACGGAGGGGAGATGCTGCCTATCAGTGATGATTTTGGAAATGAGAATGTATTGTCATTCAGCTTCCCTGGTTATGTAAAGGTTAAATGTTAAATGATTCTGGCTCCCACCACCTCTGGGTTGGGAGGGATCTGAGGACAGAGCTTATCTAACCTCTTCCACTGAGCTGCAAATAAACTGACACCATGCTGAAGGATGAAGCCACCTCAGAGTCCGAAATATCTAAACAAATGTCTCAAATAATGTGCTCATTTTAGTTAGAAAAAAAAAAAACATTCTCAGGATAAAAAAAACAAACATTTAATTAGATTTTACACTCAAAATAAAAATCTCAAACAAGTAATTAAATAGTAAATAAGTTAAATTTGACTAAAAACATAAAGTATGGTCATTTATATTCAGGGGACATATATTTGGTTAACTTCATAACAACATTATTTTATTTGACCATTTATTTTATTTTACAGCATTTCATCATTTAAAAGGAAACTTGTGACAAAAAGCTACTTCCACCTGCAGTCCCTGGACAGGATGATGACGGTTTAATATAATTTAACAGATTATTAAGTGATGAAAAGCCAGAATATAAATTAATGCCATATTCCTGACTACCAGTAGTTCATTTTTGTCCTCTGTACAGGCCATTTCTAAACTTGAATATCTCCCACCCCCTGCATTCTACTGAATTAATTCCTTTTGGTATCTGGAGGACATTTAGGGCTTTTCAATGATACCACATGTGAAGGGGTGGGACTTTTGTACGTATCTTTTTCTAATTCATAAAAATTGCGTTCATCAGTAATAACACATTTTATGGGAAGAGACAAAGAAAGTGCATAAAACCTTTTATTACCTTACAACGAATGTGGGATTTAAAAAAATGGTGATTGGACAAATTTTTTTTCCTGGTAGTCAGGAGGATATGTGCAATAAATCATTGTTCATATTTCACTAAAAATAAGCAAACCAATCAAGCTAGAATGATAGAATCTGATATTAATTCTTCTAGTTTGCCTGAACTTCATAGTTTGTGTTGCGGCTGTTTGTAAACTGGGGAAAATGTCAATAAAATCCACTTAAAATCACTTTATTGATTCTGAGGGGAAATTAAATTTTGTTGGAGCTCAAATTATCCAGGTTTCTAATGCAGAAAGTTCTGCAGCAGTCTGTATTACAGTGAGTGTGAGGAAACCTCTGACTGAAGACACTGGCAGTCTCATGTATAAATGCCCTTAATTTTCTTGATTTTATGAGAAATTGTTCTTTTCACTATCATCTCCAGAGGTTCCGAAGTCTCATTTCACCTTTGACCTTGTTTCTCCTGAAACATATAGCCATTAGCCATTTCCATTGTTTTGTCCACATTCAAGATGGCTGCTCCCTCACCATTACTCTTGGTGTGCTCTTTTTCTTGTCCATAACTGAAAACATTGTTTAATCAACTTCCAGCTGTGATTCAAATTCACTGACTGTATTTTTTTCATGCAGCAGCTTTTAAATTTCTCCACATTTTCATGCATGTGGTCTGATGATCACCACAGAAGCTCCGCTCTGGTTTCCTAATGTGGATTTTAGTCGATAACCTGGTTTCAGTTTCTTTGAGGCTGCAGAACATCATCAGACTTTACCATACAAATAGAAATTGTCCAGATTCTGTCTTTTGCAAACTAAGCTGGAGGGCAGGTTGCATTCAACAGCATTCTTAATTAACGATGACTAGATTTTTAAGCAGCCATTTGCATGAACAAAAGAGAAGCTGTTGAGGTTCTTGTTTCCATGTACCCCACCCCCTTCCCACCAGGAACAATGAACCACCAGTCCAGATGAGATCCAACTCTTCAGAGGCCTTTAATCATGTAGCAAAGCAAATTCTGATACTGGGACAAACAGCCTTTGGTTTACTTGTATGCATTCATTGAAACTTGAACAATGTCATATCAAAGTTTTACAAACTCCTATACTATAGATATCTCCACAGAGGATGAAACTGAGTTTAAAAATAAAGACAAAGTCATTAATTTTGGGCATATGAGGAACAACAATGAAAAGAGAGCCAGTCTGAGTATAGATCAGCTTTTAAAAGTCACAGATGAAGTTTAAAGATGACTTTAGCGGTCACTCAGCTACAGACTCAGATGGAAGCGCAGCTCATATCGGGTCGACCCACTGTAAAACAGAACTGAAACCGGGGCTGAGTGTAACTGCTAAGGCTTCGTGTCGACTCCTGTTTCAAAAAACAACAAACGGTCGAAGGAGCAGAGAACGACATTTTTTTAATCTCCCTCAGCAGCTGCAAACAAAGGGCGATTCCTTTTCGCGCCGTATGTTTAAAAGTCCAGCACAGCCAATCAGCGATGGGATAGAACACACAAACATGAACGCGCTCCTTAAAGGAATTCAGCCAATCACAGCTCAGAATGAGTTCTGTGCCCCCAGCGTTTACGTTTAAATGATTGATTTTGACCAATCAGCGGGGAAGGGGGAGGAGCTACAGAACCAGTTTTAGGCAGTGACAAACAGTTGCGCTTTCTTCCTCATTCAGTCCTTTACAGCTTGTGTTGAAGAGAACAGGTAAGAGACGTTGTTTCTGGCTAAATCAGCGGATTTTTTTGTCGCCATTTATGTTAAATAAGTGTTTAGGTTGTTTGTGGCCCTTAATCCGTTCTTGTCGATCGAGTTCTCAAGCTTAAGCTCCGGGAGCGAACTTTTACGGCCATTTTTGGCCGAAAGTGTAAATCTCAGCGTAATGAAAACGAACTTTATAATAAAGTAATCAGCGTCGGTTTCTAAGAACGAAAATGGGTAACTATAGTTTACGATGTTTTGCGGTGTGTTTTGGGTGGCGCAGTTGGTGCGTAACAGGCAGTTGAAACGCCATTTGGCTGCGCAGTGCAAACACGACGGAAACTCCGCAGTTTGCGCCTGAAACGGGCTGCAGGTCTTTTCTGACTGGGTTCCGTTTGTTGTGGTATCAGTCCGAGCCCATATGGAGTTCTTGTGTTTAGGAACTGGGCTGAGCGGTTCTGCTGGGGAACTTTTGGCGCAGTTGGGCGGTTTAGGCGGGAAGATACAAAATGGAGTCGCGTCTTTTTGTCCCGAAGAGCCAGAAATCCGATTAGCGTCTGAAGACGACTCCTCCCGGCGTCTGGCTGGCTGCCTTAGGCCTCATTAACATGTAACACTCATTAAATGCAGGTCAAAGGTCACTTTGCACAAACTTTAACACCTTATGAGGTTTATGATAACTTTTAGCGGGTTTAGAAGGTACACACTGATTCTTATCAAGGGTGTTTACATTATTTTCTCCAACTGTTTCAATTAATGCAAGACTTAAGAATACAATTAAAATACATCTCGGTGAAATCTGAAAAGTTTAAGTTTGACTTAAATTGAACATGTAATGAGAAAATATAAACTTAAAGTTGATGGTGCCTTTTTAAGTACTGAAATAAGTTATAAACATTTGAAGTTGCAAAATGTGAAGATCTGAGTTTATTGGCTAAATTCGTATAAAGCATTTAAAAACTCACTTTATATGCTCTGCTCCTCAGAGGCTAAGCTAATGCTAAAACTCCATCATTGAGTTTGAAATAGTCTTTTCCCAATCTCTTAGTTATTCTCTTTAAAGAGTAAGCGCCACCATGACAAAGGACCCCAATAAGCCCAGAGGGAAGACCTCTGCCTACGCCTTCTTCGTTGCAACCTGCCGCGAGGAGCACAAAAAGAAGCACCCAGGAACCAGCGTCAACTTCGCAGAGTTCTCCAAGAAGTGCTCAGAGAGATGGAAGGTAAGTGGCACTAACCTGAATGTTTCCCAGTAAACTGGGAACTCTGGAGGACTAAAATGTTTTGTTTTGGAAGACGATGTCAGCCAAGGAGAAGGTGAAATTTGACGAGATGGCCAAGAACGACAAGGTCCGCTATGACCGAGAGATGAAGTCCTACGTTCCCCCGAAAGGAGCCAAGAAGGGCAAGAAGAAGAAGGACCCCAACGCACCCAAAAGACCTCCGTAAGTCGGCGCTCTGATGCGGTCTGTAAAGAGTCTTCTGTTATTTATATGTCCATCTTTACATCTGCAGCTCCGCTTTCTTCGTCTTCTGCTCCGACCACCGTCCCCGGATCAAGGAGGAGCATCCCGGCATCTCCATCGGTGACATCGCCAAGAAGCTGGGCGAGCTGTGGGCAACGCAGGGCACCAAGGACAAGGCGCCCTACGAGGCCAAGGCCGCCAAGCTGAAGGAGAAATACGAGAAGGTAGGCACCCAGATGAGAGGAACCAGCTAACAGGAAGGTAGCGTGATGCTAACTGGAAGCTAACAGCTCTTCCTCCTCTTCCTCAGGATGTGGCCGCCTACAGAGCCAAAGGCGGCTCAGGGAAGAGTGACGCCGGGAAGAAGAGTGGCCCTGGCCGGCCCCCAGCCAAGAAGGTCCAGCCTGCCGACGATGACGATGATGATGACGAAGATGACGATGAGGAGGAGGATGACGATGATGATGACGATGATGATGAATAAGTGTCATGTGAAAGGATGTGAAGTTTGCGATGCATTGTTCAGCTTAAACCCGTTTCTTTTGTGTGTGGATGATTGCAACATTTAGCCTGCTGTCCCTGGTTCTGGTCCGGTTCTGCCGGACCGGGTCTCCTCCTTTCATTCAGGGATTTAGTTTCTAGCCTCCCTTTAGTCCGTGTATGTTTCTACTGAACTCGGGTTGTTCCACCTTGTGAACGGCGCTGAACTGGACTGAAGCGCCAGCGGACGGCAGGAAGACATTTTGTTTTTTAAAGCTTGGTTCTGGAAGCACTGCTCGCGTTCTGTTCTAGTGGTGCCGTTTTCTTTCCCACTGTCGTTTTACCACCAGGATGTTTCTGTAGCTTCATTAAGATGTTGGCAGCCATTTTAAAGTGGAACTTTGAAACCTGTAGAACGAATTTTTCTTTTTATAATAAAATTTTGTATATTGATTATAATTGGAGTTTGTGATTATTCCACATGTTCAATTTTCTGTCAGATCTGCTGAATAATAAACAGGAATTTAATATCTAAACCGTTTCTGCGGCATGTTTGAGTTTTGCTGTGCAGCAAACAGATGTGACTCCGTGCCTGGTTGGAAAGAATCCAGCAATGATCCAGAGGAGCAACTGTCGCAGCCCAACAACCAGGGAAGGCTGAGGGGTTTCAAACTAGTGGAAAGTTAGCTGGAGGGAAAACCTTTAAATTTGGATGCGCCAGCAGCTGGACAGAAGCAGAGTGACCGATTCTCCTGAAACCAGGCAGTAATTCAACCCAAACATCTTAAACCTGGATTCTCTGACTGAAACTGAAAGGATAATCTAACTTAATCGAAAATCCTGCTATTTGTTAATCTACACAATTTTTTTTTATTTCTATCCTTTGTGGATCCAAGCCTCAAATTTGGTACTTAAAATGTCAGTAAATTTCCTCTACATATTTTGTTTTATGGTGTAAAATTAAGGAAATGACTTTCATATGAGCAAAAAATAATGTGGGGTTACAATCCAGTGATAAGTTTAATTTTTGTGTTTTGAGTTCAGGTTAAAGTAAATACTACCCAATTATCAAAGGGTAATTTCATGCCCAGCCAATCAAACCTGGGGACCAAATCTCCTTCTGCCCAAGGCCCCATGCCACCTGGAGCCACCCCTGCTTCTGGAGCTAAATTTCCTCAAAAACCGCAGTAACATGAAGTTTGATCACTGATTTATCTGTTCTTTTTATCTGTATTTAAAAGTTGTGAATGAATTTAAAGGATTTGGATTCTGATAAGCTTGAACCTCCAAACAGGAAGAGCGCTGTGACTGACGTTCCCAGCAGCCAATAGCTGTTTAGTAACGGCCATCTGGTGGGCCAATCAGAGGCGCCGCTGCGTTGGTCCCGGCTCTCTTGGACGAAGCTGAGCCGCGGCGGCAGCGGGACTCCATTCAGCACCTGTGAGCTGTCCACCGCGGACCGGCCTGGTGACATCTGACGGTAAGACCGGAACCAGACACACACCAGAACCACTCCAAAAACAGAACCAGGCCGCTGGAAAACAATAACGAACACAGCGCGACAGCGGAGACAGAGCAGATGCTAGCCGCGCGTCCGTCACCGCGCCGCCGCCGCGCTGCCGCCTATGCGTCGCGCAGAGCGTCTTCCAGGGATTAGTTGGTGTCGCTGAGACCTGTTGCCGGTTCTGCCTCCTCCTGACACCCGGCCTCAGTCCCCAGACCTCCGTCCGGGTGAAGCGGCAGCTCGGCTGCATCTCTATCAGTGATTAGGTTTAACACGAACCCGTCCGGTCCGTTAGTCCAGTCGCGGCTCGCGAGGAGAACCGTCTTTGTCACGAGTGGGCTCGTGCAGTGTGACACAGGGAGGATGTCTGGATGAAAACCCAGACACCCGAACCAGTCCTATCAGAACCGGGCCCGTTTCATGGCTCTGGATCCTGCTGGGAGTTCTGGTCTCACCTGGAGGCAGAACTGGGTTTACTGGAGCTGCGCAGTTACAATGAATCATCACGGAACCGGCGGGGCGGACCAGAACCGCCCTACCGGTTCCAGCTGAGGTCCATAAAATTCCAGCTTCAGAACAGAATAGGTTTTAGATCCAAGCTGAAGGCTAGGATGATCCAAACCCGACCAGAACTGGACCTAAAGATGTCCAGAACGTGAACAACATGAGGGTTCTGGACTGAACCGGGCCCGTTACTTAGAACCTGGTCCATATACATTCCCACCCTCACCCAAACGGTGAACCGATTGCAGTTTTCTGGCCGATCCTCAGAAATCCTGACCTGCTGATTCCGTTTTTTTGTCTGAAAAGTTGATAAAT